CAAACAAACAAACCTACATACATACGTACATGCATATATGTGTACATACCTACATAGCTACGTATACATGTTCATATACATGTTATGTAGTGTGCCTTTAAGGCTGCCGAGTTTTTGGTTGCCTGGTGATATTGCATGCCTCAAGATGACCTGATAAAGGGCGTAGGAAGGTTTAGGGCCATTGTTGCAACTGATGCTTAGTGCTCCGTAGTTCGTTTCTCTCTTCTTCCTCAAGGTTTCTCTGGCCTCCTTCGGAATAGTTTCGCAATCATGCTGCTGGTGAAAGTCGCATGACGCATGATACTGGCACAAGCACCTGATCATCAGTGACGGTGATGTTGATGAAAAGGACCGGTATTGTCTATGACGAGACTAAGAACTCCACTTCCCCAAACCCTATACTCTGAGCGAGTCGCCTTCCCTCTGGGATTTCTACGACGTCCTGGCGGAGTGGAAAAGAGACGGCTCTAAACTCCACTTACCGCTCAGATGCTCTGAGGCAGATCGCCTACACCTGGGCAAGCCCGCGCTGGCGCATGCCGGCACCGCGCTTTGGCAGAATCGATTCAATGTAGAATGAATAGTTTTCCTTAGGGTTCCTTGTTATAGTATATTTATGTTATACTACACCCACCTTAAAAAAGAACCGAGTCTAGTTACTGCGATATTGCGATCGTCGATTGCGAGGGTAGATTTAGAAAGAACGCCTCGAGCCACATGACATAGCCTTGGCTTTAGGGTTTTGTAAAGCCCATAGAGTTTCATGAAGGTAATCTTCAAAGCTCATAATGCCTTATATCGACAAGGCACAGATTTCCAGAGGGCCCCCAAAGGAGGGTGATCTTCCAGACCCCTACACCCTAAATCCCTAAACCCTAAACCCTATTTGGGGCTTGGGTTTTAGGGGTGTAGAGGCTTAGGCTGTGAGGTTTGGACCAAGCCTGATCTTAACTCGAACCTCCATAACTGAAGCCTAAGCTCGAAACCCTAAATCCTAAAGTTGAACTTGAACCCAAAGCCCTGAACCCAATCCCTGCGACAGCTTTTTCTGTATCTTCGAAGTCCAAGCTCCATGGAAGAAGCCAGTCGTCTGGTTCGAGGACTGTCGTCAGGTCTGACGTTCTTTCTTGCAACCCCCTTTCGGTTTAGGGCTTTCGGGTTTAGGGCGTAGGGTTTAGGATGTAGGGTTTAGGGCTTGGGGCTTAGGTTTAGGGTTGCGGTTTTAGAGACTTCAGTCCTGATTATGTAGCTCTTCTATGAAGTACACCTAACATTCTCTTCTCGTGGTTCTGGCCCTAGATATTGCCAGTTCTGCTGTTTCCGGAGTCGTGTTGCGGATTTCAGTTTAGGTTTCCACTACATGCTGGTTTGATGTCTTAACTCGAGTTCCGCAACAAGAACCCAGTGTTGAAGGACCATTCTTACGGGGTGCTCTGGGTAGCAATTGTGGTGACGAAGATGCTGCTGCGTGTGGCAATGATGATGGCGTGTGCATGTGCATTATGACGCTGATGTTGGGGACGATGATGGTGACCATGATGGTTGTGGCGATGGCGACGACGACGGCGAACAGGAATATTCTGATCAACGATGGTGATCCTGATGATGATACCGATGGTTGTAATGATGATGACGATGACGTTGGTGAATACGGTTTTTACTGTATTTTGCTTTTATGCCAATATTGTGACGCCCAGCAGTACCAGCTTCATTGCCACACATCAGGTACTGGTTCCAGCATGTCGACTATCCGGATCTCGGCTTCACAGTCGACATCATCATGCACGACAGCAACGCCATGGATGCCAAGGACCCTGGGACCTGCACCCACCGCGCGAGAAGCTGAAGGTGGCAATAAGAAGCCCTGAGCTGACAGCTCCACGCCGTGACCCTGAGCTGAGTTGAACCGGGAACTCTCTTCACTAAGCCATCCTGCCGCAATCTGCTCAAGGCATCCTACGACGCTTCTTACGCACAAGATCGCGCAAACGGCATGTCACCACTCCGTGAGAGGAACAGAAGTCAAGACGACAACGCTCGCCGGCGAAAGTGTGAACGCAAGCGACTGTGCATGTGTGTGTGTGTGTTACGACGACTTGGGGAGGCGTGGAAAAACGCACTGTGGCGGGAAGGCGAGCTGCACCGTGCGGCACACGAGCTTTTGGAACATGCCAAATCTTGAAACGGCAGTATTTTCACACCGGCGAGTCCCGAGGAGCCAAATAGTTTGGCCTTGCCAATTTCCGAACCTGAGAACGCCACAAAATACGTATGGCAACAGCGCCGCCGCAAAGGGAGTCCATTGGAAGAACCCCACTAAGATACCAGACTATTTGTGGGAAGCGAAACCACCAAATACCTTCTGCAGAGGACCCGGGAGAGGATCCGGATCACAACATGTGCAGCGAGGGGCCCAGAGAACGGGGTTATTTTTTTAGTTTTTTGGGGCTTCCAGGCTTTTCTTCAAATTTGTTGGGGCCATGGGAGTTGGAGAGAGGGCCTTGGGGCTTTAGGGCGGTGGGAGTTTCCGTTTGTTCTGCTGTTTGAAAAAGTTCCGAGCCTCCAACTCCTCGTTTCGATTTTGTGTGGGCCGACCACTCAGGCCTCCGGCTTGCTGCGTTGGGGCAGTGCCCTGAAGCCCCAAAACTGCTCTTTACAGCTGCAAGGTTGTTGAGGTTTGAGGTTTGAGGTTTTTGAAGCTTTGGGTTTTAGGTTAGGGTCTAGGGTTTAGGGTTCAGGGAGTAGTAGAGTAGAGGCGCAAAATATAGAAGAGCCGGGCAGAGATGAGTGCGACTTAACAATGAAGTTTACCTGGAATCCTTGGTTTTTTCTTCGGTGGCGATAGCCAGAAAAGCATTAATGTTTAACGAATCTGTATTGTTGTTGTTAATGATTAAACCCAAACCCTAAACCCTAAACCCTGAGGGGTTTAGGGTTTTGGTTTAGGGTCAAGGGTTTGCGGGTGTAGGTTTGCCCGGCAGCCTCAAAACACCAACTGCCGAACACCACTTTACCCACATTTGCAGGACCCATATCCTGAACTTCCAGCCCTATCAGGAAGCCAGTAGCAGCAACATCTCCAAACCCGCCCACCACCTGGGCTGTGAAATCCCTCAACCCGAAACTCTACAGCCGAAGCCGTACCCTAAACCCTAAAC